CGACACACTCCTCCTCCCACCCTCCAGCGGCCCAACCGCTAAAGCGGCACTACCGCTACATGGCCCAAGCGATGACATCGCGACTTCGGGCCAGGGTTGGCGCCGTTCGGCTGCTGCTGTAAGATGCCTCGGATGCTGCGCGACATGCGGCAATGTCTCAGGCCCAGGCGGCCGCGCTGATGGCCCCCCTGGAGATGGGCGGTCCGAGCCTCTCCTTGCTCGACAGGGCCCAGCTGCAGTCGGCGATCGCACAGGTGAACTTCTACGACGGACACGACCTCTCATTATTACAAGCGCTGGCTGGATCCACTGGTCAGCCTCAGCGCAAGAAGAGGAAGATGGGCCAATGCTACAAATCGTTTCTGGCGTTTATTACGCAAGCAGATTGGGGGGAGATCTGAGAGCCTGAGGCCGGCCCACACGCCGTGCTCAACCGACTGATTCAGCGAATCCTTCGACTTGGTGGGAAGAATATATACGAGCACAGCATCAAACTTCTTGCGTCCGTGTGGATGCTGATCACCGAGGAAAGCCCAGAAGACATCACTTACTTTTCGAAGAAGAAGGCCCAGGACCACGTGAGGATGGAATACCGTCGGCTGGCAGACAAAGCAGGCGACCCTGCAGTGCACGTGCCTGATTTGCCCGCCACTCCAGCAGAGCTCCTCGTCAACTACCCCGCGATATCCAGATCCGCCTACACCTCGCAGGACGTGCCTGCTGCGTGCCCGCTGGACCTCCGCAGGCTTCGGGAGTTGGACGACTCGTACAAATGCCGCGGAGGTAAAACTACAAGCGACGCCGTTGCCATTCACGGGCAGGGAAGTGGCAGCGGCGGCTCCGTGGAGCATGCAATGATGCGTCAGATGCAGCAGCAGATGACTGCCTCGACGCAGCTAGCGGCGACGGCCTTGGGGTGCAACGGGGTCGGCCAGGGACAGCATCGGGACCGAGATTTCGCGAGCGAAGCCAACCTTCGCGTGTTCGATGGCCCCCGACGGCCAGGCCGACACCGAGCCCTTGCACCTGAAGCGGCCGGCCGGTCGGCAAGGACCATCGCACCCGCGCCATCCGCAGCACCAGAGCCAGTCCTGCAACGTCCAATTCACCAGCGACGCGTTCAACAGCACGGACCACGCGAAGACTTACTGCCGCTTCCAGGTGCGCATGCAGCCATTCCAGATGCGCGTGCTCCACATGATGATCATGCTGCTGCTGGCGAGGCGTTGGCGTCTCCGACACCTCCGATGACTGCTGCGCCGACAACTCCACAAGCGGTCATCAGTGCGACACCTACTCCCGCTGCCCAGAGGCCTTCGCTTCAGAGGAACGTCGCAGAAGCAAGGCAAATCATGTCCATGAAGAGGGATGAGGCCAAGAAGAAGGCGGTGATGAGACGGCCCGCAGCTGCGGATCCAGCCAACGAAGACGACTTCGAGGCGGACGCTCCCGTGTCCGCCCCTGCCAAACCGAAGGCCAAACCAGACAAGAAGTCCGAAGAGAAGAAGTGCAAGGGGCTTCCGAACGTGACCTTCGAGGACCTCCTCACTTGGTGCCCCGCCGACAAGGGCGCCACTAAGAACGCATTCGCTTCGAGGGCCAACGGAAAAAACGAGGGCGAGAGCTATCAGAGCTGGCTGGCCCACGTCGAAGGCTGTGGAGCTTGCGCGCGAGGCTTGCCAGTCCGCGGCGGCAATCTACGACAAGAAACGCAAATGACGCACTTGAGCCCAGCAGCTGGCTGTCCATCCCCTCTCATTCTCCTCGCATGACTCTGACTATGCCCCTCCTTCTCGACGCCGTTCCCTTCGACAGATTCATCCGCCTCCTCCCTCTCCTGTTCCTCGTGATGACCCCTCCTATTCGAGCCATTCTACCGTCTCTGTTTTCATTGCTGCATTGTTGTTTCCATGGGCGCTTCTGTAGCAGGCCACCCGCGGGGCAGCGGGGCTCGGCAGCGAAGCGGTTGAAAACAATATGACGCGCCCCTGCAGACGCGTCGAATTGGGGGGGAACACGCTAGGGAGTCCTACGCCTCCCCCCCCCCCCCCTCTCTCCTCCCCCCCCCCCCTGCCCCCCCCCCCCCCCCCCTCTTCCTCCCGCTCAGAGCAAGAACAGGAGGGCCCCGACCAGGATCAGGAGGGCCAGATCAGGGGGGCCAGATCAGGAGCCCCCCCCCCCCCCTCGCCCTTCCTCCCCCCCCCCTCATCCTCCTCCTCCTCATCCTCCTCCTCCGCCTCCTCCTCCTCTTCCTCTGGGCCATTGCAAACGTTCGCGTTGCTCTAAACATGTTCAGCGTCACGCATATTTATGACCGCGATTGCCCCCCCCCCCCCCCCCCCCTCCCCCCTCGCATTCTCCGCGCCCCCCTTCTTTCCAGGTGCCCGAAGAGAAGGGGGCGCAAGGGTAGGAGGAGGGGGAGGGGGAGGAGGCGGGGGAGGATGAGGACGACGACGACAGCGCGGCGCCCCACCACAAGCAATTCCAGTCATGGGGGGCATTGACCGAGAGGCCTCGGGTGCAGAATCATCTCACGAAAGACGCGTTTTCAGATTGTTATCAGAGTGGGCCGAGTTCGTTATCAACGTGCTCAGGTGCGTTGATAACGTGTTATCACGCATGGTGCGTTGGCGTGACAACACCGAAATAACGTTGGTAATATCACTGATAATGTTGGTAACCATAGCTGATAACGTTGATAACGATACCGCTCGATACATTCATGTTTTCAGGAATTCGTGATTACGGTTATCAACATAACCAGGGACGTTTTCAGTATGTTTTCAAACGTTTAATAACAGCGCTGATAACATTGATAACGCGTTTGGTAACACGCTGGTAACATACACGCCCCAAGCCAAACCCAACGCCTGCTATCCACCGAGGTCGCCCGCCATCCTTTCCTGTCCTCCCAGCGGCTTCACCGTTGTAGCGGGTCATCCGCTGTGGCTCAAGCATCAGCCATGCGCACCACAGCGCACCATCCGAGATGGCAGCAGCCTCGGCGTCAGCGCCAGCAGAGGCTGACGTGCGTGTACGCCCAGACGAGTGCTCTGCCTGTCAGGACAAGCTTGCCGACGGCACGGAACTACAGACATTGGCGTGTGGACACTCCTTCCACCAATATTGCGTGGATACCTACTGCAGCGTCAGCAATTGCAGCCTCCCGGAGATGCGCTGCCCATCGTGCAGGGAGGGCGCGGCCTCACTGATGGAGATGGAGAACGCACTGCTCGGTGGAGCAGCGGTGGTTCCAGGCGGCATCATCGAGAACTCGGACTTGGAAGTCGAAGAGGTCAGCCCAAGCCCTTCAGCGATGCGCGATGAGGCCAACGAGGACGAGCACTGGGCACCTCCAACTACGCAGAGCACCTGATCCCCACTAATCCAGGAAGCAACCTAAACGTGCTTCCTGGAATGTGTTCGTTGCAAGCGACGTTGCAAAAGCATAACGACACTCGCGCAATGCAAATGATACCGCATGCAACTACAATACATAGACCCCAAGCGGTCACACTCGCATGCTTCAAGTTTTAATGAGAGCACACAGGGTGACAGCGAAGGCCTTTTACCACACGTCTCACGTGCTAGCGTTGCAAATGGCGCACATCATCACACAAATCACCACCAGCAACGTCAGCCTACATTGCACCCAACATCACAAACATTCTCGACATCCACCTCATCATTCTCATCACCGTCCTGCCCGTCGGCATCCTCGTCATCACCCTCCCTACCATCCCTATCTCATCTTGCCACGGCGGCGGCTGGCTGCGACGACGGCAACGATGACCACGATGACGACGATTACGGATGACGACGAAAGGCTACCGACGACGTTTGGCGACCGACGTCGAGAGCTGAGTCTGACGGTGATGGCCTGAGACAGGCCGACCGATGGCGAAGACGAACAACGGCGATCGACGGCACCCGACGACGACCGACAGCTACTGCCAGTGCGACGACGGCGTCGACGGAGGCGCCGAGGACGACGTCGACTCTGCGCCGACGACGGCGACTCGACGGTCGACGAGTCGACGAGTCGCGGCGACACGGCGTCGACGGCGGCGGCCACGGCGACGGCGACGACAGCGGCGACGCCAGCGCTGCACGCCGCACGGCAGCGTTTTCGCGGGGCCGCTGCGCGCCACCACGCGCAGTCCAGTCCTGGCGGCGCCGCGCGCAGGCACCCGGGGACGGCGGGTAAGAGGTCAGCAAGACAGAGCGAGGGAGGGGACGGGCGGAGGAAGGATACGAATGCGATGAGAAACGGCGAAGTTGAGGGGTAAGAGTGAGGGGAGGTGAGATAGATGATGTAGTGGAGAGGTGGAAAGGAGGGGGCATGGGGAATGCGATGAGAGAGGAGATCAAGCGGGGTGAGGGAGGGGGTTGGGATGGGTATAAGGTAAGAGGGGTAAAATGTAACAGGTGAAGGGTGATGGATGGCGAGGCGAGGGGTACTCGTTGAGTCGGAGACGAAGGCGTGAAGATACAGCAGAAGATATGGTAGGATAGACGCAGGACAAGGGACGTGAGGCACGTTTCCGAGCGAAGAGCGTGCGCACCCCAGCGCAGGACCGTGCGGCAGCACAGATGTGAGTAATGCGAGTGGCCACCTCGTCTCCTCGACTCGTCTCCTCTCCTCCTCCTCATCGCCATCCTCGCGTCACCTTTCGCATCATCAAACCCAGCGGTGATACTCACATGTACGACATGAGCCGGCAGTCGCACTGCCATGCCAATGTTGCGCCCCGCATAGACTACGACAGGCGCGAGCCGAGACCATCTGGTCACTGGTCGCGGAGGCAGGGGGCAGTGAGAGGGAACGACGGCGGCGGTGAAGTTGTGCCGTCCTCATTTCGTCGTGCACGTGGCAACGCGGGGTAGCCGCGCCCTCGGTCACCAGCCAACCATGCGGACACAGGAACCAGCGCACTGCCCAACACCAGTTCGCATGCGAGCCGAGCTGACCAGATACAGAATTACTGCACTAATTCAACTCAACTCAGCAAGTGCTGGCACGAGCACTTCTTCTTCCTCTGACCCTGCTGAGGCTGAGCCTGAGCCCCGCCCGTCACGCCCGTCTGGCCTGTCTCCGCGCCAGCCTCGATAGCGGCGAGCTTGGCCATATGCACCGACGCCGCGGTGGGCCCGAAGAGCGCGGAAACGTCGGCCGGCGGCTGGTTCGCGCACCGAGACTTCCTCTGCTTCGGCATGCACTCGCCAGGCAGCGCCGCGCGTGCCAGCTCGACTGGTCCTGCCTCACACGCATCAGGCGCACGCGGAGCTCCTGTCGAATCTGCCGACTGTGCCGAGAGGTACGTCACCTGCGCACGCGCGGTGGGACGGATGCGCGTCGGCGAGGGGGTAGTGGCACCAAGTGCCACGTACTCACCCCGCCCACAGGCATATGTCCCATCACGAGTCTCGAGCGTATAAGCCTCCGCATCATAAGCATCATCGTCCTCACTCCCTTATATCCCACATCGTCCTGCCCCCATCGCATTCGCATCCACCCTCCTCCACCTCCACCATCCACCACCTTCATATCGTCCCTCACACATCTCATCCATCATGATCATTTTCAGGAGTGAGGCGAGGGCAAGAAGGGTCACCTGGATATTGATAGCCGTCGTCGCGTCCGCATTCTTCACCAGGTAGCCTGGCAGATCAAGCCGCACGATGCGCTTCTGACCAATCAGGTTGGCCTCCTTCGCGTCGGTAGCCACTCGCACCATCCACGCTGGCACGGGGCACTTGGAGGTGGCCGCATCTGACTTGTCGGGGACCACGTAGATCCCCATGAGAAGCGAGTCCCTGGGGTCCGTGGCAGGTACCTTGATCGCACACAGCAAGTGCGAACGGCTCCCGCGCGAGAGACTGACCTCACCAGTGAAGACGAGCTCCTTCAAGTCGTCCAGGCTGCTAGCGACGACCTTATGTTGGGGCGGTTTCGGCCTACTACCACCAGCCGCAGCGTCACCTGCTGGAACCCACTCGATTGCGATGCGGTCCAGCTGCTCGGAGTTCGGCAGGCCATATGCAATGCGATCCAGCATGGGCCCAATAAAATTCATAAACATGCGAAGCCAGTACGCTGTAGGAAATTCTCCCGTCGGCATCTCATACACGCACTCGGGAGGGGGTTCGCGCCGTCGCCGCACAACTCACCCGCCAGGTTGATGTGCGAGCCGGCTGCCAGGGTGATCGCCTCCGAGTTCTTGAACCTGCGGAGGCGCGGGGGTGGATGGGGAGGGGGTCAGGGAGTTGGCAGGGGTTGGTGATGTTGTGAAGAAATACTGGATTCAGATTTGCAGGAGACACGCGCGAAGGAAATGCACAGGCGGGCAAGGGGAGAGCGAGGAGGAGGTTGCGGAGGAGGAGGAGGTGCTGGGAGCTCGGGGGCGTGGTAGAGGGGGGGGGGGGGAGCACGAAGAAGAGGGGGGAGAAGAGGAGGAGGAGGAAGAAGAGGAGAGGAGGCAGAGACGGAGGAGGAAGAGACGGAGGGGAGGAGGAGGAGGAGGAGGAGGAAGTGGCGGAGAAGGAGGAGAAGAGGAGGCGCAGCAGCAGCAGCAGCAATCCTCAGCGTCATCCTCCTCTCCCCTCCAGTCCGCATCACCATCCTCATCCTCATCCTCCCCCTCCTCCTCCGCCTCTGCCTCATCCGCGTCCTCCTCATCTCATCCTCGCATCCTACCTCCTCATCCACGTCCTCCTTCTCATCCTCACCTCGTCCATCATTGACCATCATCGCTCACCCTCCACTCATCCCTCCTTCCTGCTACTCAGCTACATGCATGTACGATGCCGAGTGAACCCGTAGATGTCCACGAAGGGTATCGCCTGCGGCGGCCAGGCGTACCCGCACTGCTCGGCCTCCACCAACGCGCCGTCGAAGTTGGTCAGGGCGGCCTGCGAGTCAGCAGCAGGAGGTGCACCGTCGGTCGCAGCCGACGGCGACGCAGTCGCACTGGTCGCTGGAGAGGGCGCATGAGCCTCTGGGAGCGTGTACTTGGTCAAGATGGTCTCGCGGAGCGAGTCGTGCGAGGTGGCGCCGGCGCACGCGCCCGTCACAAACGCAGTGTAGGCTGGCACCCACTGGTCGAACTTCAGGCGACGATCCACGTCGCGCAAGTGGGTACTAGCATCCCTGGCGGCCGATGTCAACTTCGCCAAGTCGAGGCGGCAGTGAGACCCGGAGAGGTTCACGAAATCATCGCTAGTGCAAAGGATGTCGCTGATGGCCAGGTGCGCATAGACAGGCCTCAGGCGCATGAAGTCGATGAGCTCCGACACGTTCTTGAAGTACTTCAGCATGCAGGCAGGCATCTGGGCCGTTAACTGCACGTACTGGTATGTCAGCTGGCACATCTCCATCATGGAGGAGTCGAACACATCCGATAGCTTATCGTACACCAGTGAGAGAAGATGCTGCAGGAAGGTAGCCAGTGCAACCTCCGCGTCGCCGCTGCCAGATGCGGCCTCGGCCAGCGAACGACCAATCTCGCCGTTGTTGGCTCCAAGGTGGTCGGCCAGCGCATCGATGATACCGCGGCAGGAAGGATGGCGCTTCGGCTGCGTGGTCGTAATCTTGTTGGTAGAGGTGAAATCACTGAGCCGCTCGCCACACTCGGACCCCGCAGCAGTCTGCAGCGCGTCCAGGAGCCTCGACTGCTCTGTCGGTCGGATGGCGGGCGCGCTGGCAGCAGGCGTGGCGTTCTCGAGGCTGGCCACGATGATATCGGGAACGGTCATCTCGACTCTGTCGATGTCGCCATCAGCACCGATAGCACCGACGCGGCTCATGGCTGTAGCAGCTGCAAGGTCACGAAGCTTTGGGCGCAGATCTGACCACTTCTCGTACGTGACGTTTCCCAGGCGCACCTTGGTCTCGAAGCAAAACTCAAGGGCTGGGCCGAGCAACTGCATGATAATCGCGTGTTCATCGCTCGGGTCGAGCTGACAGTCGGCCATTGCTGACCAAATAGCATGAAGGGCGTCCAGCAGCCACACCTGGTGTTGCTCAAAGTTGGCACCGGTGAAATCCTCCTTCGGCGCGCCCTTCGAGGAGCTCTTCCCCGCTCCCGAGCGGCCTGAGGTCCTGGCATTGGGATCAGATGGTGCTGTCGGCGGCCGCGCAGCCTTCTCCTTCAGTTTCCGCGCGGCCTCGATGCCGCGCTTGACGACAATGCTGTCCGGCATCGCCTGAACCAACCATTTGCACTTGTCCTGCTGGATGCGGTCGAAGACCATGGGCGGCGCGCGTCCGCCAGCAGCGGGCATCTTCACAGGAACGCACATCGGGAGGACGCTGAACCATACGAGCTTCAAGATGTCGAGATCCACGACCGAGCGGACTGTGTCATGGAATATTGACACAGCGATCTGGTGCAGGGTGAAGCACGCAACAGTATTGTCCATGCGCTTGTCGCGGAAGAGGCAATTGGCACCGAGATAATTGCGTGTCTCCTCGGTTATCTTGAACCGCTTCATCAAGTTAACGAGTGCCTGGGGAACCGTAATCGCACATACGATGGGGGGATGCAATGCAGACCTCAGGGCGCTTGGGCTGCGACTCACTCGGCCCAACAAGGGCCATGGCGGATCGCCGAACCATCCAAGACAACCCCCACGCGGAACCTCAGATATGGCCGACGTGTCGGATGACATCTCCTGGGCTCCGGGCCCCTGGACTCCTGGACTCCTGGACTTATCGTGTCAGACTGGCGTCTATGACGTGCGTCACACGGTGGGGTGCGGCGGATAAGCGAAGCTGAATTTGAACAAGTGGACCGTCGCAGATTGCATCTCGTTGCCGCTCTTGATACGCCTGTCCTTCTCGGGGTACGTGGCACACACCCAGTCCCACGTGGAGGCGTAGGTCTCCCCGCTGCTGGTGCGCCCGGTCTTGTGGCCCGCCATGCACTCCCTGGTGAGGTCGAAGTACTGCAGCAACGTGAAAGCGGATCCACCGTGCCACGCGTTGTGGAAGTTCAGCAACAACATTATCACATCTTTCGGCGTACGATGATCCAAGACTGTCATGTTGCGAAGCCCCTGCTTAAGTGTGTATCTTACCATCTTGTTTTTGGGATCCTCTTCAGAGGCCTTGTACACAGCGCGACTCAAAGTACCGTACGTGATCATTAAATACGGTCCGACACCTCCTGGCGAGAACACCGCCCACGGATCACCGCGGATACCCGAGACATTACCATGCTCCTTGATGGACTCAGTGTTTCCTCGAGGACGGTGTCCTGCTTCCTCTCGTTGAGCGGGTGGGGCACCATGGACTTCTGGCCGCTCTCGGTGAAGAACTTGACCGTGATGTTGCGATGGCCCGACACAGCATGCATGTCCATCCGCCGATCGACCAGCTTGGCCCCCGTGAGGCCAGGGCACCGCTCGTGGACGGACGAGCACGGCTGGTACTTGGCATCAGTGTCGTCCTCGCCGCCGGCGCTCGAAGAATATGAGCCGGTGTCGTTAGACTTCTCGTCGTCGGAATCGAAACGAAAGTCATCATCATCATGCTTCGACGTCTTCGGCTTCGCAAGCTTCGCCTTCTTGCTCTTGCTCGCAACGGCAGCAGAGGCAGAGGAAGCTGCCGTCTTCGCCGCCTTCTCCTGCTTGCGAGCCTCGCGGCCTGCCTTGCCTGTGCTCTTCTTCTGGTCGGCTAGGTCACTCCGACCGAAGCAGCCACCTTCGGGATATCTGCGAGGATCCTGAGCCTGATCCCGATCTCGACGCGCACGCTTGGCGGGCGGATGCGCAGCAGTGCCAGCACCAGATGACCCGGAGCCGGAGGAGCGGACCGCCTTCGGCATGGGCTTGGGCACGGCTCGCGAGGCTCGCGAGGCGTTGGAGGCTGCGGACTCATCAGCAGAGGACGCCGAGTCTGACATCGCCATGGCGGGGTCAGTGGTGAAGTTAGCACGAGCTGGGCTGAGCAGAAGTGATGTCGCGCAGGCGCAGCACAGCACCTGTGCTAGCGCGTCCGAGCAGAAAATGGCTGTCGACGACACCGACGACACACGATCAGTTGGCCACGCGATACATGCGCGGCGGCAGTGTTCCCACAGAAACACGAGGGATGCGGGAGGTCTGTCGGATGTCCTCACAGGGCTGTACGAGATCTTCGGTCGCGGGCCCGCAATACATCACCTCTCATGTCCTCCCACATCCCGCCTACACTACACCAGCCCGCATCATCAGTCCTCTATCCTCCATATCAGGTCTGAAGACGGTACCCTGAGTTTCCCTCCCCGCTAGAAAACAACACGCATACATGCAAGACAGTTTGGAGTCCTCTTGTGTTTGTGCACTACGTTTGTTGTTGGGATGTTGAGGGCAGTCTGGCAGTCGCGGGTCAATCTTGGACCCGGCCATGGGCCCCGGCGCGACCGCGTAAACGACGCGAGCGGGCACGAAGGCTCTGAGCGGCGGCCCCTGGAGACATAGAGAACCTCAAAGGGTGTGAGGGGGTAACGCGCCACAGTCAAACTCAACTCAGAAAGGCCTCTGGAGGTGATCAACTTAAGTCGATCGTGAGAATGTGGATCATGGGTCCCAGCACAGGGAGCTTCACCAGGGTAGGGAAGGGAGCGGGGTGACAGCATATTGGAACACGAAGCGAGTACTGTACTGTCTAGACATTTAGCAAGCCGTACTCCTCAGCATCGTCGACCCTCCTCCTCCTCCAGAAACTCAGAAACACATCCTCAGTCTCCTCCTCATCGTCCTTCCTCGGCCACCGCCTCATCATCTTACTCATCCCCAGTCTCATCATCTCCTCGACCGCCGTCGCCGCCGTCGTCGTCGCAGCCGCCGTGCCGTCGACGCGCCAGCGGCCGCCCAATCGCGCGGGGCAAGGAGCTGGGCTGGCCTAGATGCAGCGTGCAACGCGCGACCGCGCCCGCTCCCGGCGCGGACAGGTCGGCGATGCCGCAGACGTCCCAGCCGACGTCCTGGCGGCAGGCCCCCCCCCCGCCGCCGCTCGAGGGCGCCCCGCCCGCGCGAGGACAGCAACGAGGATGGAGCAGGAGGAGGAGGTGGTGGGAGATGATGGCGACAAAGGTCGGGCGGAGGGGGGGGAAGGGGGGGGGGGGGAGGAGGTTGGATGAGGAGGAGGGGAGGGGGGGGGAAGAGGAGGAGGAGGAGGAGGATGAGGAGTTCAAGAGGGAGTTGGGGAGGAGGAAACCCACGCGAGTTTAGGCCCAACTCCCACTGGATACTGGTACGACGCCACGCCATCCCGGCGGTGGCTGACCACATCAGAACAAAGTCAGTGAGTCAGTGGTTAGATAGCCCATGGGATGGCGAGGAGGAGGATGCCAAGGAGGAAGACGAGGAGGAGCGAGAGAACACATGGAAGATGGGATGGGGCTGATGCTGAGGAGGACGGACGATTAAGGGCGTAGACGGCGTAGGCACCAGGGCAACAGGATTTCGGACGACATGCCAGCAATATGATAGCATGTGACTCAGCGAGCTATCTACATGTGATGGCCACGATGGTCAGTCCAGAAGGCATACAGGTACTCTGGAGTTTTGTTTCTGACGGAAACCGAACTTATGGTCTCGCCGAGCCTTATGGCTGTAAAACTTGGTCCAGGGTTCGGGGCTTGTTGGGATGAAAGCGTACCACCGCAGGCCTCATATGTATGCTGTGCCACCCCCTGCATCCGGTGAGCGTCAGCATCATAACACGACACCTCACTGCATCGTATCTGTTTGAGGCCAGAAACAACCGCTTGTAGGTCATAGATATGATGAAACGAAGGGTGGCACCCTGTGGCCCTGGAGAGACCGTGACGAGACGAGACGACTCGACGACATTGAAGAAGCCACACCACGCAGACAGACATGGTCACGATCCGCGTGAGGGGTACGAGGCAGCGCCTGCTCCAAGAAATGAAATCCCAAGGACGCCTGAAGCGGCGCCGACCCCCCCGCACATGGCCCGCGCAATGGCAGTGTGTGGGGGGCTGGGAAGGGGGGCTCCGAGAAGGCCACATAATAAGCGCAGGCGCAGACCCTATGACGGACGGGAGTGGGTGAATAGGTCGGGTAGCAGACAACAGTGTCTGACATGATGGCAATGCGAGGAACACGCAAACACGGCCCACACGATCGCCGATCGCATCGAAGCACATGTCAGCACAGCGCCCCGAACGCGTTGAGTGCCGAGTGTCTTTCACACTGGCGTATGCAGTCGCGGGGTTAGCGACACAATGAGAGCAACATAATTACCCATGTACAGATTGGCAGGGCACGGGCACGGAATTCTTGAATTCACAACACACATTCGCACCCGACACGCGTGTGACAGCAGTCGGCTCGCCCACATGCCAACAGCATGGGTCCTCCTCATCATCCTTGCTCGTCTCCCCCTGATCGGCATAATCACCTCATCATCATAGCGTCCGTCGCCATTCTCCTCACCCTCATCCCTCCCTTCTGCTAAAGCTAAGAACGGCAGTGCCGCTTGCAACTACGGTGCCCTACACCGACACCGAGGTAGTATGTCCTACTAGTAGTAGGTGATCGAGCTAAGCTGAGCTAAATCAGCTGGTCCGCCCTAACCACTTGCGTGAGCGCATACAACCAATGTGCTCCACACACGTGCAAGTGCATAGCATTCCCAGCCTGCATCATGGTGCTCACGCGCGTGCGCCCCTGGCGAGCGGCGGTGAACGAGCACAGGCGATGCCCTCCTCGCCGCGGCAGTGCGAGGCGCTCTTCTACAGGAAAGCCCTGTGTGATCAAGAGCTCCCGCGGCGTGAACCAGCGGTTGATCGCGTCGTAGAAGATCAGCTGGGGGTTGCGGATTACGGCGCTAAGGAAATGTTGTGTACTAGACCAGCCACGACCGTCCTCGTGACTCTGCCCCAGGTTGTGACAGCACGCCCCTGGGGTGGCGTCCTTCTGATACCCGCGCAACTGCCTGAGTTCCCACTCGGTGAGGCTCTCGACGAAGGCGGAGCTGCCAGGTGCGACGTCTGCCAGCGTGACAATTTTTTTGTGGTTTCGGCTGCCAGGCCGACTATGAGCCCACGTGAGCTCTTCCATGAGCTCGGCCGGGGTGGCGATGCAGAACGCAGCCATCGTGCTCCGCAGGGTCCGGTGGAAGATCGGGGCAATGTTGGCACAGCTGCAACGCACCTTTGCGAGACCACACCGAACGATCGCAACCACATGCACCAGAGAACTTCTCTGGTGCATGTGATGTGAGCGTCGTTGTACGATCAGCTCTTCTCTGGCAGAGAAGAGCTGATCGTACAGCGACGCTCACATCACACACTGACAATCAGACCGAAGTGATCGACCCACGACAGGGATCAGATCGGAATGGCTCAGGAAACCCTAAGGTGGCCGATCAGATATCGATTCGATCGATCGGGCATCGAGAGCAACACCTCCATCACGAAAGATTTGTGCAGGAGGACTGTGAAGCGGCGCATGCGCCGCACAGGCCAGCCGAGCTCGCACGG